GGGGGGGGGGGAGCGCACGATTTAAATGAGAACCACAAATATGGCATAGAACTATATCAAGCGTTTACGGTAGAGATGCAGGATTTAGCGGTAGAAATAGTAGGGGCTCGCTTGGGGGTGCATGGGGAGGGGTGATAAAAGCGGTAAAAGAAATGGAGGATTTAGGATTACCTATCTGGACTCATTCATCAGAAGTATTGGTAATAGGCCTGATACCGATTTCTGGTCGGATCAATGGTTGGAGGGTGGTAGATTAAAAGATAGATTTCCTCTGGACCTTGGAGAGGGTGAAAAAGGCGAAGGTGCGTGATAGAATTGTTCCAGCTGGGGGAGAAGGTTGGTCGTGGACTCGGGATAGATCCCTTAGGAGTTCAGCCAGTCAAGAGTTTGAAGATTTGTCACAACTGTTGCACAACCAATTTCACTTAATCTAGGTCGAACTGATATGTGGGTTTGGATATGGATGCAAACGGGAGCTTCACTGTGAAAAAATTGAGAGAAATGTTGGATAGTAGACTTCTAGATACACACGATGGGGCTGGAACTACCTGTTGGTGTTCTTTAGTTCCAAAAACAGTCAACGTTTTCATATGGAGGTTGTTTAGGGGAGGGCTTCCAGTAAAGAAAATGCTTTATGAAAGGGGTTTTGACTTAGACTCTGTCCTAAATGCAAGCGTGGGAAAAAATTCGGGAGTTTTTCTTTGCTTGTTGTGGCGGGAATACCCAGTCTAGAAGATCGATCGAGGAACTAATTTCGGGCAATGGTAGCAATCGGGGGTGCATCCTCATTAGCTTGGGTAAGGGAAGCAATCATTTGGACTACTCTTTGCATCTTATGGAGGAAGAGAAATTCTCTGGTCTTCGAAAGAGATGCGCGGATCGACATGCGGGAGCATTTTTTTGAAATTCAGTCAACCTCCTTTCTTTGGATCTCGAACAGGGTTAAGAGCAACAAACCTTCTTGAGCGGATTGGTTGTGTGGATCTAATTATTGGCAGTCTTAATGTCCATCTAGCTCGTGTTTTGTACCGTTTCCTCTTTCTGGTTTCTATGTTCTTGTAACAGTTTGATTGTTCTTTCTTAGCATTCTGCCCATTGCAAAATGTGGGACTCTCCGGTGTATTGGTTCGAGTTCTTCCCTGTTCTTAATATTATTGCCTCTCAAAAAAACAAATATTTTGAGAACCAGGTAACTAAATTTTTAGTGTATATTCATTGATGAATATACTCATTGACAGAATACAAATACAAGTACATTCATCAACAAATATATAATATATTCCTTGATGAATGTACTCATTGACAGTATAGATATTTTGATGAAATTTAATTAGTGTAAATTTATCAATGAATACAGACTATAAAGTTAGTTCCCTGGATCTCAAATTATTTGCGGTTCTCACATTAACCCTCCCATATATATATATATATATATTACATAGATATACATATACTCTCCTATCAATGGGAGAGGAAGGCGGATAAGGGAGGAGGGTGTGTGGAGAGAAGGTGCATACCTGAAAGGCAGACAAGACATGAAAAGTGAAGAGGGCAAATATGGGATAAAGGGTTAATAAATGGCTGAATTCGTATGACTTGTTTTTTTGCTGACCGATTAACCACCGGATTATGAACAAGCAAAAAACAAACAAGAAACAACCATGCATCGCACACCAAATAAGCCATACAGGCTGTTAAGCCCATTAAGCCATTACTGAATAGCCCCCTAGTCACAAGAAGATCAAGATACTCACATGGGAAGCCACATGAAAGGATTAATTTTGCAATTCTTGAAATAAAACAATTTGAGCGAAATGAAAAACAAAAATTAAGGGAAAAGTGAAAAAGATATATGACTAAAGATGATGAACAAATCATCTGCTTCTTCACTCTAACAGACCGCATCTACCACAGCCACTAATCAAGATCAACACTTCTCCCTCTCAATCTGTTTGCAGATCAACTTCTCGATTATAATCTCCGATTTTCCCAAATCAGAAAACCCGAATTAAAATTTTAGAAAATTATTTGTTATCTTATCTGATTCTTTATATTCTGGGTTCTTTAATCAAGATCTTTAGTTGATCAACAGTCTGATACCTGTTCATACTTTGTTAACATACCAACAACAATCTAGTGTCGTCCAGTCCTCACAAAAGAGACAGAAAGTTCTTATTTTTAATTACTTTTTAGATTTAGCCCCCTCACTACTCCACAATAAGTTTTTCTAAAACCACCTGGCATGCAACATCAGATTTGGGTCACTAAACTGACTGCTAGGTATATTTGGTAAGGCATATGCTGATTATACCATGTTGGTTTTTTGTTAATTAACCCTTGAACTTTGTGGTAGGTTTACATCTGAATGCAATATAAGGAAGGTTCGGCCTACTTTGCTGCAAGATAATTACCAACGCTATCCAATTTCTAATAAATTTCACTCTCTAGATTGAGAATTTCTCGACATATCATAATAAACAACATTCCCATGTAAATGCCATCATATAAATATACCCTTTTTTCGGGCATCATCTCCATTTCACATTATCAATATTGCTTAAAAAATAATTTGGGTCAAAGACCTTCCAGCCTAGTGGTAAAGGCTTGGGCATGGCATAGTCATGAACCCAAGTTCGAGCCCTGGGAGGGGAGTGTTGGCGACTTTTAAGTGGGGCCATGTTTAGCCTCCAAAATTGCCGGGGATTAGTCGGGCGTTGGCTCGGACACCCTTACAAAAAAAAATAATTTGGTCTCTTAAAAGGGTGAAAATTGTGATGAAAAGATCCAAACGAACTTGGTATATCCCACTCAAAAGTAGGGTCCATGAGAAATGACTCATGCAGACAAGTCCTCTTACCCCACAGGGTAGAGTGGCTATTTCCATGAAGACCCTTGGCTTGTGTAAAAGTTGAGCAAAAAGAGAAGTAAAACCAAGATTAGCAAGCAGCAGAAAAGATACTAAATAGGCACAATGTAACATATAAAGAGGGAACACACACATCCTTCCATCTATCATGGGCCTCTGCTACCCAAAAAGATCTATTATGCAATCAAATTTAGGCATACCTTGTGCCATGGATGAGGCTTTATTTGAGGAAACCTAAACTCGGTGTAGTTTGGATTCATACACTTTATCTCCTCTCTTGTAGGCGTTCCCAAAACCTGTAAGAACAATTAGAATACAAGAAATCATATGGATCTCTACCCATTTTTTTATTTCAAAAAAAAAGAACAAAAATGGGTTGGCAGAAGTTGAATCAACTGACCTTGATAATCTCAACCAATTGATCAACACCACTTTCTCCAGGAAACAGAGGCTGCAAAAAAGAAATTTAATTAAAAGAAGGGTTGAAGCAATCAACAGTTAATACACTGTAAAACTAAAAATACCTGTCCAAGTAGTAATTCAGCCATCACACAGCCTGTTGACCATATATCTATAGCTGTTGTGTATTCGGTGGCACCAAATATGAGCTCAGGAGCACGATAATATCTTGAACAGATATAGGAAACATTTGGCTCTCCTTTCACCTGGAAAAAGAATCAAAAAACAAGGGTATATAACATATAAAAACCAATATGCACTGTTTGATAAGACTTACTAGCACTTTAGCACTTCCAAAGTCACAGAGTTTCAGCTGATGTGTGTGTGGATTCACCTGAAAGTTACAAATAAACAGCATGATCCACTTTATCAATCTTACAATGTTTTCTCATTCCATAATCATATCTACCGCTAGTTTTAATAATTCAGCAAGGTAATAAATCCTAGCTAACTTGACTTATAAAATTCTCTTTCTCATAAATGACATAAACAGCCAATTTCCTTTCGAATGCAAACCATTTAAATCCTCAAGATATACATTAATGAATAAAAGTAGCCTATTCAATTACCATAGGCAAGTCATTTTTAGGTGTATTATCATGTCAGAAACCACCATATAACCGCCCTCAAGGTTATAGCCAATACCCAACTTTTTTTTTGGAAATGGGTGATCCCAGGCTTCGCCCATGGCAAATTGCGACTGTAGGCTTCGCTCACAACCCTGAGGTAAATCTCCCAGTGGCCACAAGTGTATATGTAGTGGCAGGATTCGAACCCGGGTTGATTTTATCATCCCTGTGTGCTTATCCACCACGCTACCACCCTTGTGGTTCCAATACCCAACACCTGATGTAGAGAAAAGTTACAAAAATACCATCGGGTCTTTGGCCTTCTAGGAGGCTAGGGGTTCAAACCTCACCAAAGGGGAGGAGGGTATTTGCCGTATATAAATATTATATATTTCAAACAAAAAGTTTTATAATATAGCCACTAGGATCCCTTGAACATCTTATACAGAGCTCATGGTATCATACATTAGGGGATAATTACATCAAGTACAAGAGTATCCGATAGTATCATAACTTGGGTTTGCATTCACCTAATAAGTAATAACGACAAATGAAATTCCAATCAAATTAGAGAACAAGAAGACCAATGGATGTTAAAAGAACGTTCACCAACAAAAGATGTAAAAAGACAATACAGCCCGGTAATCATTACAAGAACTGACCCCCAGTTTTAAGAGTCTAAAATTCAATAAATTCCAAACAACATTTTATCGAATTCCTCTTTGTCCTAAATGTTTATCCTTATCAACTTGTTCTGAATGCCTTAATGTCAATGATGTTTGAGAATTTCAGATAAGAAACATATCTTTTAAAATGATATCAGATGCATAAATCATCAAGTCTTGGAAAAGAATCTTACAAGTAAATTCTGTGGTTTGATGTCACGGTGACATATCCCGATACAATTATGAATATAAGCAAGCGCCCTGCATATCTGTACTCAAAAGCATATAAGAAAAATAAGACATTTAAATCACCATAGAGAAATCAGAAAACCCTGAGCCAAAGAAAAAATATTTTCCCAAAAATTCAGAATGACAAAATGAAAAGTCTCTTTAAAGTGAGGTATGACATGCCTGATAGGTATACAACTTGACATATATCAAGGGCATCCGCTGATTCACTCGAGTGTAATGTCTTGCAGTACGGCTAACGGTTTCGGGCACAAAATCAAGAACGAGATTGAGGTACAGCTCTTCTTTATCAGTGGTCGAAAAGAAAGAATGCTTCAGAGCCACAACGTTAGGATGATCCAGCATTTGCATAATCTGTAGCTCCCTGTTTTTGTAACGCTTGTCTTGAAGAACTTTCTTAATAGCAACAATCTCTCCTGTCTCCCTGCATTTAGCCTGCACCAATAATTCAAAAACTACATGATCGATCAATCAATTAACTTAATGGAAAGGGAATCATCTAAAAAATAAACCGTACTTACTTGAAATACAACACCAAAAGAACCAGTTCCAATCACATGCTCCGCTATGTAACTAACGGTCTGTCATTAATTAAAAAAAAACTGGGATGACATTTTGGCATCTATCATATTCCCAACCATGAAATTTTTTAATATTCATAACTTCCCACCTGTTCAGACTGACCGTTACGACCGCCAATTGTTGTTCTTATCACATGTCCAGCTTCAGTACCCGCCCCGTGTACTATCTCTGGTTCACTATCCTGGAATAATAAAATCGATTTTAAAGAATATTTTCACAATAAAAAAGAACAAGAAAGATTATCTAAAAGAACATCAAGAAATGCAGATAATAAAGAAAAGGATAACGAAACGAAAGTACATACAGTCACTTTGTCATCATCCCGTTCCACCTTGTCCCTAAGTCGCATCTCAAGTATTCCTCTCCCCAGCCGATCAACTGCACTAGATGATTCATTAAAGCCACTGGCGGTTCTGGAACTGCCAACTCCCCCATGTCCTAAGCTGGCAGAGGCCATGTTATGCCAGATGAGTACCACAAATTCTAATAATCGTTGGTGTCTACAAACACTTCTGTGACTATTCCACCCACATACATATGTTCCTGAGAAAATAACAAACCACAAACGTCTCATGTAAAACTATGAATATGCAAAATATTCAAGCATCAAGCGTAAACAAATATGCAAAACTCATATGGGAACATGACATAATTCATATACACAAGCAATATTGTAGCTTGAAGCAAATATATTAGTGACAAAAAGATGTTATCATCACCTAGCAATATCATGAGAAAACCATCTGTTGGCACATGGCATTATAAACCAATCATGTGCCTTAAGTTATTTGAAGCCATTACATGATCCATATACATATAATATAATAGCGTAATCCAGTGCTCAAGCTCCAAGACATTACCATGTCATAATGCAATAAACCAAACCAAACCAAACCAAACCAAACCAAACCAAACAAGCCTAGTATACCCGGAGGTGGGCTCTCGAGGTTTGATGTATGTGGACCTGAGCCTGACCTCAACCCCAAAGAGTAGACATTTGTTTCTGTGAAGACCTTCGGGGCTTGTGCAAAGTGTGCAGACATGTATAAAGCAATATGTCATGCAATATTTACATGTAGTGAAGAGGAATGCAAGAAGTTATCATGATCACCAACAGTACTCTGGAATTAGTTTTTTCTCTTTGGGTAAAAGGTTAAGTATCAAAGATTTAGTCAGCAATTCGATCGCAATTTCCATGAACAAACATATCAGTGACAAAAAAAACTTACTTCTGCTTGCTACTAGAACCTATTTATTCTGTTGCCCTAAAATAAAACAGGAGCATTTGAAAGTAAGACTCAAGGGTTGACCCTTCCTGTACTCAACATTTTAGAGTGAACATCTCACAAGAACAAAACAGTCCTCTATTACATAATGATTTAGTGCTAAACGACTCTGAACTTGATATGCTAAAACAAGAACATGGTGCATGCCTAAAATTCTAAATCAGTAAAAGACGAACAGAGAAATGAAAGCAATAAAATCAAAACCCCTAATTCTATCCTTTTTAAGAATTATAAAAGATAATAACAAAATCAGACCCTCCTTGTTCCCCCTTTTGGCTGATTTATCTGAAATCAATCATTCACTAGTTTCAAGATGCTCCAGTCTAATAGGGAATCATACAGCAATAATTCGTCAGAAATATGTGGACGACATATGAACCTCAAAATCAGTACAATTCTCCATGAATCAGATCCAACTAAAAAATTAACCTACACAAAAGCATAATAAATCTAAATATAAACGATCAATCACCCTTCAACCCATTATCGACATGGATCAAAGACGAGTTGGATGATCGGTGAGTTAATCAGCTTGAAAAGGAAAACCCACCGCGACGAATTTCGCAAAGAATTGGGAGCAGATTTTGGCATTTCAGAACAGTTGATGGAAACAGATGGGTGCACAGTTTCTTGATCCGATTGCTTTATCGTTTTGGGTGTTGGGTTTATTATCTAATTGGGTTTTCTCTCTCCCCCTCTCTCTCCATGGGTTCACTGCATATTTTCTTGAGAGATAGCGAGAGGGGTTTTTGGATTTTTGATCTTTTGGATGTGGGATACTCACAAAAAACACTATTTTCACTTCCAACTCAAGAGAGATAAAAGAAACTCTTTTGGGGTTTCTTTGCTTTCTGACAAGTAAGGTGTCAGACCTTTGTTTCCATTTCACTCTTACCTTTTTGTTTTTAAAATAGTAGATATATCCCTTTATATTTTATAAAATATTATTTAATTATTTTATATATTTTAAAACAAAAATCATAATTAATATCAGAGACTTGTTCGTTCTGTAAAATACAATACTGGGTATTAGGAGAAACAAAAATGGAGTTCCCGACACACCGGCATGACTAAATTGGTGGTTTTTTAGAATTTGTATGCAAGTCTTTGGAGTGTTAATGGAATCTTCTAAAAGAACCGTTCTTGACTAAATTGGTTAATAATTCGAGAAACTCAGATATCATGTGAAACCAATCAAAACCAAACAATCAGTTACAAGTAAACATAAGCAATGCAGATCGCCCTGTTTTTGCGTTCTTTGGTCAAGATACGTGTGTGGTTATTGTCCTCTACTTTAGTTTGCGGAGGTTACAAACGCTAGACGAATAAAATGCTTCCACGTATCACTTTAGTACTCGTTTTGTGGTCATGAAAGGCGTAGTAATTCAACATTTTCTCCAAAGTGCATGTGCATTGGTGACCATAAGATAACCCCCATGTCTTGTCGTTTTCTTAACGGTTCTTTTTAGTCACTAAACTCTTGTATAAGTTTCTATAAACGGTTGAAAATGTTGTTACAAAGAAAGTTCTTTTAATGCATAGACTTTGGTCCCCTCTCGTATCGACAAAACCAACTTGTCTTTATCATGCCACTGTGTTGACATAAATAATCATGTTAGTATATGATTCCCGGTTACAAATTTTCAAAGATAAGATTCACAAACTTATGTGCAAATTTCAAAATGAACGTCTGTTAGAATTGATTATGAAATAAAAGAAATTTATGATTCAAGTGTCACAACAACCATAAAAGGATACATGTGTGTGTATATATATATATATATATATATATATATATATGAAGTCAAACTGTTTTTATGATGTGCTCCTCCATGAAAACTTAAATGGACAATTAATTTTACATTAAAAGCAGTAGCCTTCATACGTTGAGTTTCTTTATAAAAGCAACTTGATACCAATTCTTAATGTGTGATATAATTGTAAAAATTGTAAAAGGTTCAATATTTGCAATAAAAAACTTGTTTAATATATTCACAAAAAGGACATTCGAGTTGGTAAGAAACACCCTACAACAAAGTGGTTTGTGTAGCACCCATGTTTTTGTGGTTAATCATTTGAGATGTAGATTTGTTTTGGGAAGCCATTTGGTGTCCAATCATTATGGAATGTTTTTGGCATCTAAATCAAGGGTCATGGTTGAGTTGGGATGAAGAAAAGTTGTGTCAAAAGCCATCTAGGGCATTAAGGGACCTCCCATGCAAGTTTTGTGGCACAAGAAGTCACAAACAACTTAAAAACACAAAACAAAGTGTCAAGTTGGTTGCCAAAAGACTTAAGTTGCTTCACGAGTCACTTGAGACTCTGAAGTGCTTATTTTTGTATTCAGACGACTTTCCAAACGACTTAAGTCGCTTCCGAAGTCGCTAGCAGCCCCTAATGGGGCTTTAAGCCTCTTTTGGCTAAGGTTTGATCATTTTCTATCACTCTCTTCATTTCTCTCTTCTTGGGGAAGATTCTTGAGATATTTGAAGTGGTTCTTAAAGATTTTTAGGGCAAATGGAAGTATTAACATGGAGATTGAAGGGTTATGGTTGGAGTCTCAAGATTTCTCAAATCTGGTTGAAATCAAAAGCTTGTTTTCGAGATGAAGACCTCCATTATAGAGTTTTGGGTGGAAGATTCCAAATTCTTGAAGAAGTAGGTTCCTTTAGTATTTTAAGATGTATATTTAGGGAATCTTTATGGATTTTATGTTTGAGTTAATACATGTTACATTTTTAGACCTGGGTTTGTTACCTAGAGAAGATTTCTAGAGATCCTTGCTCATGGATTCAAGTCTTCATCTTTTAGAAGCTACAGATGGGTTTGGAAATAAGGTTTAATGTAACACCCCATTTCCATTTTCTTCAAATCAATTTTAAAGAAATATATAATAGGGATAAACATCCTTTTTATAATATGAATCAACAATAACTGGAAGTTTGAATACAAACCGTCTGATATGGGGCATGTTCCGCAAATCTTTTACCAAAGTATGTAGGGTTACATAGTTGCATCATTATATATGGTTCAAAAGAACTTTTGACAAATTAACAAAATAAAAGCTTTGACTTTTATCCACCGTGCTAGCTTCTTAGGTTAGAGCTTTTTCTTTATCCTTAGACGTGGGTTAATCAACACCTAAGACATACATCACACATATTAGCAAGAAGCTAAGTGAATACACAATAAGAAAATCAACCTTATTCCACACAGCTTTAAGAACATAAGCTTCATTTTTTTTTTGATTAACATGGATATCCAACGACTAATCCCAGTGCGACTACCTGCTTTGCAGATAGTCCAGAGTCATTGCATTTGAACCTCTGTGGCCACAAGGGGATTTTTATTCCAAATTTAAAGTCAACACAAATGGTATCATTCTTCAACACTTAAGATGTCATTCCATAACATCTTTAGAAATTTTCATCTCTAATATGATGTTACTCCATAACATCCATGGTCCTATCCGTAACACCTTGGTGCCTTTCCACACCTTAGTTACAATTCTATTTTTACAAGCATAATGTTAAAAAATTATGCTGGTATATAGATTCAAGACCGCATAATAACAATAATAGATATTTCACTTATCAAGTTTTATCAATTCATAATACCACAATTTTAAATCCACGTTGCTCAATGAAAACAAAATAGAAGAAACATAAGTTCTCCCAACATAAGATGTGCCCATGCCTTATGACAAAATATCTATTGTCCAACACTTAACCATATTAAAAGTATTCCTTGAACAAGACAGGCCCATGCCTTGTTACAAGACATTTTATGCCCAACATACTTACAATCCATAATACATATACATAATTAGATATGATGTATGACCATGTCTTGAAAGGTTTGTGTACTCACCTTGAAGCCCCATATGTATTTCCACAATAGCTTGATCACCAATCTTTGACTGAACACCTAAAGATTACATCATTAATTTATAAGCCGAACATCACGTTCTAATTTTGACTTCTAACCATATAATACACTTTCCTACACGCTACTTTATTAAGAAAAACCTAGAGTGTATATATTTAGTCTGATACCCTTACAACCAAATAACACAACACCCTTGCCCTAAATTATACTTTAAAGCTGACTCCTTGCCACAAAAACAGAAATCTGAGTATCTTCTGATCTATTTTAGCCAGTTAAACCATGATAATATCAAACTAGACTCTTGTACCTTTGAAAAGACTGGTTACACGCCCAGAACGGAGTTACGGTTGATTTTATATAATTTTTCAACTTCCATAAAAGTTGGAATTTGCACAATTACGAACTGCACACTTTTCTGCTTGGTTTTTCACCCAAATTCAATATCAAACTCATGTTTTCAACCTGAAAACATTTCACAAAGTTAACCAACAACAACCCTCATTGCATGTATAAATTTATGATGATCTAGAGGCGTTTTCACAACTAAACCCTCTTATAAAATAATATAACCCTTCTAACTTTCACTTCACTAAATCCACTTTATAGTAAACATCAGAATCATAAATGAAAGAATCATACCTTCCCCAACTTGAATCTCTCTAGAACTCGAAAATCTTCAATCTTCCTTCAAGAACTTTGTTTTCCATGGCTTAAATTCCATCAAGAATGCTTTCCCTTTTGATTCAGCTACTAATTTGGGGCTTAATGTTTGAGTTCTTAAGGAGATTTAAGGTTGAGAATCGATTTGGGAAAGAACAAAGCAACACCCCCCCATACTTTTACGTTTCAAATGAGAGGGGAATAATGAATTTCCTCTTTTTATACCACAATACCATGGGACCAACTAAGATATCAAAGTTATAATACTAATTAGGTGCAAATTCATCCATCATAAATTCCTCCCAACGTGTATAAAAGTCATAGAATTAAAGCCCAAAATTAGACGATATTGGTCTACCACCCTTTCATTGAATTTGACTTTTGAGCTTCAATTACTTGTACCTTTGGCATAACCATTTCAATTATAATTTAACTCGTTTGTTATTCATAGTTTAAATTTATCTCAATCATACCTCATACTTAAAAATGTACATGCGTATTTTCACTTTACATATTCAACCTTAAATCGGGCTACACGGACAACCCATTATTCATCAAAATATAATAGTTACAACTCTTTTACCAAATTCATTTATTTAATATTTTTACAAATTCCAAAGTGTTACATTTAACTTAAACGAGCAAGGTGAGTTCAAGTTGTTTTGTAAAAACTTTGTATATGTCAGAAATGTCCATTTTGAAAGTCTTTTACTTGATGTTTATCAAATGTGTTGGTTATTTGATGAGATTTGCATTTGGTGCATTTGATTTTATAAATCTTGTAAAATGTCTACAATTGGGGTTTTCAGACATTTTGATAGATAAATAATAAGAGTGGGTTCTTTTGATGATTTATTTTATAAATGAAGATTATTTGGTGATAATCCATTTTTAGTGTATTTAAGTTGGAAATTATATCATTGTATTATGGGACATTTTAGAAATATAAATGGTATGATTTATTGGAAAATGACTTGTCCCAACCAATGATGGTTTTTTTTTGAGTTAGTCATATTTTTGGAGTATGTGTTTGCATGAACGTTGGTTAAATGTGTTTTATTGTTTATGTTGACTTTTATTTTGAGTAGTCAAATAAATGTGGAGTTATTGGCTTGATTTTAGCCCATTTGAGTCTTGGGGTTATTTGTCCGGTTTAAATTGTTCAATAATGAGCTTGGACATGATTTTCATTTATTGCATCTTTATTTGAGAATAACACGTTTTGAGTGTGTTGGTCTTTCAATTGGGGTCATGTAATTCCAAACTGTAC